TAAGCTCAATATTTATTGTCTAATAACGGATTTAGAATTTTTACTAAGAATTTCTGAAAAAGTAAACACATGAACTAGTTAGAGATGGTTCGTTATAATCATGTATAAACTGTGAAGTCAAGACCAGACAAATAAATTTTTCTTTCGTATCATTTCAACAAAATGCCAAGTGAGACACCAATTACCGAAAGTTTCTAACAATTTGTTGTGATCTCTAAAATCAGATCTTCAGTCGAAAAAATAGACCAAATATTAGTATTATTTTTAGACAAAATATTTATACGAAAATCTTTTAGCCGTAAACTTGGAGATTTTGTAGCAAATATATCCTTTTTATTAAAATCCAAAAGATATCAATTCCATTCATGCTTTTTTCAAGAAAGAAAGGGAAAATAAAATAAACTTTTTTCTTCACATCAAAAACCTATTATAATAATAATTTTAAAAAAAACATTTCAACTTCCATCAATATTTTGGTACCAAAACTTGTGCTTTTAATTTCTTTTTGATCTTAAAGTCTTTATACTAAATCATTTAATTAAACTTGTGGTGGCACTTTTTATATAATAATAAAAATAATTAATTAACTTGTCTCTAGAGAGTTTGAAAACTTTAGTCCCTACTCAATTGATTATTTTACCATTCAAATGGATTCTCATGATCTCATTCACAACTACTTAATTCAATATTTCATCTTAGTTAGAATAAGGTATATATATATATATATATATATATATATATATATATATATATATATATATATATATATATATATATATATATATATATATATATATATATATATATAAGCTAACATGTTGCTAGAATATTAGGTTTATGGTCAATATTGTCCTTTTTCTTTCCCATGCAACTAACTTAATTAATTTCATATTATTGTCCAATTTTTTGAATTATATATACACAACTCTCTCCATACTCTTCAATATTATTATAATTTTATAGATATAAAATTTGGACACTTTGCAAGATTTTGAGATAATATGATTTGATTGATTGTACACTTGTTATCTTATTGTACATTGAACTGCAAAACTATATCTAAAGTTAAAATAAGTAATGGTTTTGTCATTGCCAATTATGCTAATTTTTTGGTGATATAAGTGGCATTAGTATTTTTTTTTTTAAAAAAAGAATAAGATCTTAAATCAATCATTTTGAATTGGAGGACAGATGGCATATGCCCAGTTCAACCAAAAATTCCAATATCTTTTGATCTAACTTTTTGTTTGTTTTGTTTTTATGTATGATTTTTCGTATTTGGAGTCTGATTAAATTTGTATTCGCATAAGTGTTATATTAAGGAGTAAAATGATTTTTAACAAAAATGATGTTTTATATTTACGGAGATTCAAATTTAAAATCTCTGATTAAGGATGAAATAATACTTACCACTCTTACAATACCTGATGTGTAAATTAGAATTTGACTAACTTTGTATTCGTACCAAAAAGTGTCATATCAAGGAGTGAAATGCTCCTCAACAAATATAACGATTCCGTATTTAGAAAGATTCAAATCCAAAGATCAAAACCTCACGTTAAAAATAAAATAATACTTACCGCTCCTCGGTCACGACCTCACAACGTGTGTTGGTGATCTATAACATAAATAGTACAAAGGGATTACTTGTATTATCATATTTCATAATATTACTCCTGTTTTTTGTTACTTATAATCTAATCTTGCTTTACTTAAACGACAACAATTAATTATAATATCCCGATTAAAGGACTTAATTAAATTTCTCCCACCTAAAGTTCCATTTAGTTGAACCATATATATATTATATGTATCTCACATGAACTCTTTGAAATAAGTTAGATTTGAATTATCTTATTTAATCATGGAAAAGCTCTACTAAACACGCGATAAATACTGATAAGTTAATTAAAACATTCCTTAATGACATGCTAACATTAATTAATTAATTAATCAAACCAAATAAAAGAGGTTTAGAGAACAAACCATGCTTCATTGAAACTTCTCTTTTTCTAGTTAAATATTTTTGACTTTATGTTGGTTGTACATGTCAATTTTGGCATTCTTTTGTGTAAAAATCTTAATTAGTATTAAAATAATACTTGAGTTTCTTAATTAAGGGATTTTGTCCCTTAATTAGGATTAGAAGTAAAATACAATGGATGAAAGTAAAGACTTTTTAAAGGGGTTAGCTGATGGTAGGGGCCACTTTGTGATCCTGTAATCTACACAAAGGCCAAAAGATAGGAATAAGATACATAAAATGTAGAAGAAATCAATCAAAGATTAATAACTTAAACCAACCCACCCCACCCCACCCCACCCACCCACCAAAATTATAATCCAAGATTAGTCCTTCAAAAATATATTTAAAATTTATTTCACATGTTGATGTAGGAGGTGATTTCAAAATTCAAATATGGTTATATAGGGAGTAATGACTTAACCGATTATTATTATCTCAGAAAGTCATGTATTTATTTTTTAGTTTCAATTTTTGTTAACCAAAAAAAGAACTTTGTAAGATAATAACTATATTTGTAATTGAGTAAGCATCTGATCATAAATTAATTCGTTGATATATATAAATTCTCTGATAACGACATGCCTAGTTAAAATTCTTCTCTTAAAGCATTTAAATAGACTAGAAATAAAAGCATCTAAACGTGTGGATTATTAGTCAATGATATATATATAAATTTTGGAAATTAGGATTCAAATTTCATTTGTCTGAAGTTTTGCTAGTGATAATAACAATACACAAAATAGTCAAAATGTGTCCAAATTAATTATCTTGGACATCAACTTACATGTTTTTTTTTTTTAAATTCCAATAAAAAAATTGAAGAAAAAGGAGTGGGAATTGATGAGAATGAAAAGATTGATTGGTGGACTAATTCATATTCACCAATGGAAGATCTTGTTTAACACAATGGAATAAACACAAAATCTAATAGTTTCTAACATGTCCCACAAAGTTACAATATATGGGTCCCAATCCAAAGAGGACAACTGTCAACACAAATGCCTTTGCTTAATAATGTATTACTATAATATAATGTAAGAGGTTAGCATAGTGCACAAAGCATATTACGTAAACAGAATTCAAAAAAAAAAAATCGCGCATCAAAGAGTGTTATGTAGACAATCTACTATAATGCAAGTTCTAGTAACTGCTATCAGAATCTCAAATTTGTAATCTATAAATCACACGAAGATAATTTTATCATTAATCTTAGACTTTTCTCGAATAAGATAAGTATATTTTTTTAAATTTTATATTTGAATGATATTAGATGATGACTTGATTCACCTTAAAACAAATAAATTAATAAGGTTTGTTTGCTCTAAGAAGATATGCTCAGATCTCATAGAAGACCTTAATTAGTATATATGCTTACCTCATCAACCACTTCCTTAATATTCCTTTGTTTAGCAACTACTCTCCCATAATTATTATTTTAATTACATCCCTTTTGACAAGGTCAAGATTAAACTATTTATTAATACATTTTTTTAGTGAATAGGGGTTTGGATAATTGCAAAGAACCTTCATTTAAGTGCTGAATAATCACAACTCTACAGTTTAGTAGTGCATGAACATAAATTTTAGGGTTCTGTAGTAGATGGGACTAGTCACCCATAGATGTTTATTTAAATCAATTATTTTTCAAAAAAAAATAAATTCGTATGGTGTCTGATAGCTATATGGAACTTCGACTTAATCTAAATTCAATAAAAAATCCTAATTGAAAGGGTAATCGTTTTTCAGCAAAGACAATTTAATATTCAGAGCTCGAACTCAAAATTTCTGACAAAAAATGTAAATTTTAATTTTCTAATATTTTATTATAAGATTATATAGAGTACAATACGTGTATTGATCACTAATCAATTTAGGTCAAACAAAATCTAGATTTGCATCGAGAAATTTCATATTAGGAGGTGGTGGTAAAATACTCTCTAAGACTCTAACAAATTAACACAACTTCAGTAGTTAAAGCTTGAATATGAGATTTCTGTTTAAGATAAATGATGATAAACACGACTTCAGTATTTAAAGCTTGAATATGAAACTTTTGTTCAAAAATGAATAACAAGAAACACGATTCAAAATTTTTAAGCTTGAATATGAGATTTCTGTTTAAGAATAAATTATCGGTAATTTTTTTTTAAAATTTCTAGTATTTTATAAGTTTTGGTAGAGGACAATACATGAATCCACTAACCAAATTGGTCAATAAAACAAGTAATAAATAAACCTTTTAAGTACAGTGATAGATCTGTTGAGTCCTTCCAGGTGATTACATCCTCTATCTTTCTTTGACTTTTGTTGTTTTGTATTTACAATATTTAAAACATTCTCCTCTCTTCAAGCATGGAATATTTTTTTTTATGTAATATATATTTTAAGTAATCAAGTGGTACTATAATTGCATGTTTTTTAATTCCAAATTTTGTTTTTTTTAAAAAAGTAAGAATAAATGATTATTTTAGTCCTTAATCATACACACTGAATCCTCTTTGGTTGGAAAAGTTTATGGTGTATCTAATGCATTAATATTTTACAAGATTTGTTTATATTGCATGAGAGACATCTTCCTAATATGACTATTCTTTTTCCCCTATCTCTTTATTTAATATTGACTATTGCTATATTTATGCCCTACCCCATTTTTTTAAAAAAAATATATATAAAAAGTAAAGTAGTTGCATTGCATATAGTCAAAAGTATTTAAATTTTATACACAATAGAAAAATGTCCATATAATCAGATCACTTATAATATAATTATCAGTAAATCATCTCCGATCAACCAGATATTCATAAAAAAATAATTTTCTTATTCAAATTATCACTTATAATATAATTAAACGTCCATTAAAGATACTAATTTTTTTTTATTATAAATTAAATTTATATTTACTGATCGTATAAAAGTTCTTTACAGTGTTAACGTACCTACCTAAGTGGGATACTAGACAAAAATCCATTGAAATCTACTATATAAGGAAGAGTATGCAAAACACAAATTAGTCCATCATAAGTCACATACAAAAACATAATCCTTCTACTCTCTCTTACAAAAACCCATTCATTTTCTCAAGAAAAATTAACATGGCTAAAGATGTTGTTTCTAGTACTTTTCAATCTCCATCATCCAATATTAATGGAGAAAATTATCATGAATCCTCTTCTAAATCATGTATAGAAAACAACAACAACAACAACAAGAAGCTCAAAATATTTGGTTTTGAGCTTATTGATAATCCAAAAAGATCTCCAAAAAAAGTCCAAAATAATTCATCAAAAGAAGATCAAGAAAGTGTAAATTCATCATCAGCTTCCACAGTATCATCAGGAAATATTCATCATAATCAAGAAAAAATATCATCAAATCATGAAGAAATAATGAAGAAATTTGAGTGTCAATATTGTTTGAAACAATTTGCAAATTCTCAAGCTTTGGGAGGCCATCAAAATGCTCATAAAAAGGAAAGAATGAGGAAAAAAAGACTACAACTTCAAGCAAGAAAAGCAAGTTTAAGTTGCTATCTTCAGCCTTTTCATAATCAAAATTACAACAACAACAACAACAATATTATTAATTATCAATTTCATGATCCTCAATTTAATGTTTATGAAGAATCCCAAATTAGTTTTAACCCTAATTATGATTATCAAGTCTCATCAGAAGGGGGAGGAACAAATTGGCCATTTCATCAAGATTCAAATAATTGTACATTTACTCTTACACATGGAGGAAATAATTATATGAAGCCTCCATCAACTATTTTGGATAATTCTTCATCTACTAAACAAAAAAGTTCATGTAAACATTTGGATCTTCAATTGGGATTAAGTTTGTAATATTATATTGTATTAGTCAAAGCAAATTAAAGATAGAATTCATTAATATTTGTAGTGTTCTAATTTAGATTATTTTTGGAAATTAAAGAGCTTGATCATGCATGGTCTAAATATATCCATTTTCCAATTATTTTTTTTAGATCTCTTTATACATTTTTGTAAACATATTGGAGGAAAAGGCAAAGAAAACAAATGATTTGCTAATCTTTTTTAATATTTATTTTTGGATCTTATGAGAATTAATATATCATATATGATTGAGTAGTTTCAACAACCAATTCACTTTTGTATGATAGAATTAATTAAGCTGCAAATACAACAACATCTATACTAGTCCAAATCGAATTGGAGTTGTATTATGAGAATAAATCGTGATGTTATTTTTGTGTTGACTGTCACAACGATAATATGAACAAGCTCATGTAACAGATGAAGTTAGAATCAAGCTCAAATGCAACAACTACTCTATGAATGATGCAAATAGTAGGATAAACAACGGATCTCATTTCCTCTATTGATATTATTTATGTTAAAAATTCAAATTAATGGCTGCCTTTTTTTTTTGAAAGAAAAAAAAAAGAATTTCAATTTATAGATACTCTTAAATGCAAGAATATTGGCTTTAAAAAGCTTTCACTAGGGTTATAGGGAGGGGGAATGTTTAATTTCCATGTTAATATCACTATGATTTTTTACTTTTTCCTTTTCACCACTAGTATTTTAATTTTATCACTTTTTTTTTCCTTTTACATACACTCGTATATTCAAATCACAATTTTGAAGCAACGATAAAATTACATCTGAGTCATAAAAGTAGTTCGTCGATCAAAAATGCTTGTATTAGAACAGATTGTTTACATCACACTTCTTAAAATGCGACTTTTCCCTAAATCCTGCGTGAACACGAGATGTTTTGTGCTCCACTTTTATTCTCTAAAAACTCAGTATATTTATAAGCTACTAACTATTATTCTATACCTTCACCTTTTTAATTATGGAAAGCTAGTTGATCTTGCCCCTATGAAAGCACTCACAATAAATTTTAAGAGAGGTTATTATTACATTCATAATTAACGATAAACGTTTCATTTTAGTTTAATTTAAGGTTCAAAAGTGAAGAAGAATAGGTAGTCAAACAATTTTTTAATTTTTTTTTGTTTCTTTTCCTTTTTCATCTTAAACAAACAGCCCAAGGCATCATTAAAATTATACCACTAAACAGAGTGTCCGGAAATACTCTTTTCTTAAAAGATAAAAAAAGAACTTTACGGACAAGTACAAGCAAAGGGGCTAGTCTTATCTTACTGGTCAATCCTAATGAAGTAACGAACTTCTACTAATTAACAAGCGTGAATAATATAAGAGCTAAAGAAAACTTATTTTCAAAGCTTCGATTAATTTGAATTTACGATAAAAATTTCATGGCATATTTCAAATTAAAGATACTTCAAATTAAAGATAATGAAATGAGATATCATATGTATAGTCACTTTTGTGAGTGAAATGTAATGAATTAATAAAATCTAAGTACCATGTATGGATAAACTAATAAAGTCCAGACATAAAAATGTTTCAACTTTGCTTTTTTATAAGCAAATGCCAAACTTCGAATATTTTATCAAAGCCTAACTTTATAAATCCATATATCTAAAATTATTCCAAAAAGGCTAAACTTATAATTTTTTATGAACCATGGCTATAACTTAAATAGTGTTCTCAAAATCCTCTATATATTTGAAATTGCCGATCGTTTCGCACCACATAAGGCCCTTAGAGTCAAATTCATCTAGATATTTGATTAAGAATGAAAGAATTATATCCACCGGAGTTAAAGAAAAAATGATAACGAGAGGATGTTTCGTTTATGAATTCAAATAATTAAAGGGGAGTTATTATAACTTAAGACTTAGGTAAAAGTAACAATATGAAAAAAGAAAATACATAAGCACACTGTAACAAAACAAAAATAACTTTTAGCGACAACAAATATGCATATTAATAAAGGACATGAGTTAATTATCACTCGATTCATGTCGCTATAAGTTTTAGGAACATTATAAAGAGCGTTGGTTACCTATAAATAAAAAACATATTAGCAACGATATTTAAGTTTTATAAATTAATTACCATTAGAAATCATTTTTAATATAGTGACAAGATAAAATTTTCTTCAATATATTTCAAGTCTTCGAGTGTACATAATATGTGTTTTTATGCCCCTATTTATAGTATTTTAGAGGCATATTCAAATAGTTTTCATAACATGAGTTATGGACATCCACCATAATTCTATTATGTCATAATAACACTTCTTTTATATGTTCATATATGATGTGCCACGTTAAATTTTTTTGTTATTGTGAGTGTATATTTATAGCCGCTAAAAGCTATTTTTGTTAAAATGAAAACCTAGGCTAAGGAAAGAGTACAACAAGTATTTACTCTCCTGACGAAAACTTTTCTTTATATTTCAAAGACGAAGAGAATATCAAATGTTGTATACATTCTTGTTGATATTTGTGCTTGAAATAAGAATTTCGATGAAATATGTTTTGTTCCGTCTTCTTAATATATTCTATTTTGTGTTGAGTCACTTGCTTTATAAGTTGGTAGCATCTGACATGACTTGAATAAGTATCAATAATTAATTGCCTTATAGACTATGATAATATAACAATAACCTTATGTAGATTTGTTTGAAAAAAGAACTTGAGGTAATAACAAATAATGTGTTCAATGATTCATTTACTAGCATTTAACTTTACTCAAATGAAATTGCATACTAGCATTATTTAATTGTCTTTTTAATGAAATCAAGAGCATAAATCATTTTCTATATACTATATTATATGAAATGTATAGTAAGATACCAGTTCAAGCAAGAATCACCAATTTCATATATGAGGATTAAATCATATAAATCCAATGAAACATCAAAAAATTGTACAAAAATTCAATAGGGGCTGATAAATTCATAACTAATATATTGTAATACTAAGGATAGTACATTAAAAAAAACCTATTAAATTTTTGTAAGTTGCACACCAATACTGTGTTCCACCACTCTCGAATAATTGCGATTCTGATTTAATTATACCCGCATTAAAGTTACGATCTTATTTATTAATTTAGTTATACAAAAACAACTTAATGAATGTTGTTATGAGACAATTAATTACCATTCAAACTCCAAGTTAATTTGATGAGCGTCTTCTCTTGTAATTGTATTCTATATATATTGCGATAAAAGACAGAATACTTTGATTACAAAACATGTGTAACAAAGATTCTGCTTCATCTAGTTATTTAAGTTGTCATCTAGTTATTCTTGTTCACGAAATTTTCTCTCCATATATTCACACCATATATGTTATTTTTTTAAATTGTCATCTAGTTATTGTTGCTCAAGAAACTTTGTCACCATATACTCACACCATATATGTGAGTATTTTAAGTTGTAGTTATTCTTGCTATTATTTTAAGTTGTCATTTAGTCATTCTTGAATTTCTAAATATTAAACAAACTTTGACTTGATTCCAGACGAAACTGAAATTGTCTGTATATGAAATACTACAACTGTCCAAAAACCTACGACACTTGTTGTGGTTGGTGACTTGGTGCACGTTTCCCACAGCACAACAGGACCTCAGCCAATGGAATTGCTTTGTGTGTTTGTGTCTATCCTACAATAAGTCTATTCTCCATTGTCACAAACAAGTTTTTCACAAAAGCAAAAGCCTCTCTCAATGGAATATTGCCCAAGAACATCTGGAGGACCTGATAGAGTTATCGTTGTTCTTAGTTGTTCCTAGAGTTAATATTTAAGAGGTTGATCTTGTAAGATTTATTCCTAAGTTATAAAGGAAGTAGATTAATTTTCATATAGAACACGGCAAAATTCAGCTAGAGTAGTTGGTTTAGTAGGCAAGTAAGGAGGAGGGGATTAAGAGTTTGATTCCTAGCTTACTAGAGATTTGTAATTTGAAGGCTTTGTCTTGAGTTAAATGAAGTTGAATTGAAACCTTGTGAGACAGGTTGTGATTTTCTACTCCATTGAATAAGCTTAGGGGCGTTTCCACATAAGCCTCTCGTACGTGTTTGTTTTACTTTGAATTATTTAATTCTTGCACTTCTATTCTATCAAGGGACCAGATTCAGTGACTATTAGTCCATATACGTTCTATCAATATATATTCTCTCTTTCGCTCAGACGAGGAAGTAAAATTCCATCAATTGAATTTTTGTTCATCATTAATGAATATAGTAAGATACCAATTTAAGCAAGAATCAGCAATTTCATGACTCAATTATTCAAGGAGGACTAATTTGATGAGCGCCTTGTCTTGTAATTGTAGAAAGGTTGGCTGAAAATCTCGCACAGGCATAGGAAGCCCTGGTGTCATATTCCATTTGTCTCCGTCCCAATGCCACTTTCACGATGTTGAACATACATTTGTTATAATCTTGAAGGGTTC